TAGCAACACTGCAAGGATGGCCAGCAACCAATGAGAATGTCTAAGAGGAGGGGGAATTTTGAATCTGTATAAGGGCCTGGAACCCAGAGAAGAGTGTTCTTTGCTTCAGTTTTTCCTTGTGGGATTTCTTTGTGCTTTGCTCCTGGTGCCCTCCATCTTGGATTGCTGCCAGGCAGTCTGTCTGCCTGCCTGCTGAGCCTCCATTTTCAATACTTTTTAATCCTTTTTTTATTTCAGGGGAGATTCCCACCCAATTCTTTGGATTACTTCTGCTGCTGCCAGATAGTCTACCTGTGCCTGCAGGCTCCTTGGGATTTTTAAAAACCTATCCCATTTTTGGGGGGAGGGGAATCTTCCCCCTTTGTCCCCCCCCCCTTTTTGGTCAATTCATTTCTTAGATTATTTTTTGCTGCCTGGCCCATCTGCTGCTGGATACTGGACTCAAATGGTAGATAAAGCATCAAGTGGTGGTGAGGGAGAGAAATCTTCCCATATTGCAGTTGTTTTAGTTTGAGAAGTCTTCTTATATTTTGGTCCCTTGATTTGCTGCTTGCTTTTCTTGATTCTTGGGAGGCGAGTGTTTTGGGTTTTTTTAATTGCAATGCATGGGGTGCTTTCCTTATTTGACTGATATTTATAAATGGTTATTTAGTTAATTTACTGTTTATTTCTTCTGTATGTTTGGTTGCATTTTCAGGGGGGAGTTTTGTCTGCATTTGTGAGGTTTGTAGGGAACAGACTTTGTGATTCTGCTAACATGCCACTGTGCTGTGCAGTTGTGATAATATGTTCTAGTGTCGACACAGATCTGACATTAATTTTTTTAAAAATCTGTAGTATTGTCAGATGATGGCATTTAAGGTAAGGATTTTTATGACCTACAAAATAAGTTTAAGTCCTTTGGCTGCCTTAATAATGTATGGAGCGGCATCTTTCACAAAGAGGAGGATGTTTCCCATTTTTACACCATCCAACCAAAGGAGTTTCATAGAATTGTTGAAGAACATAGCAATAGTGGAATGGTTTACTTTTTGTAGAGTTTTACATGCTAGAAGAAATACTTCACCAGTTTTGTCACATTTCAGAGCACCAATAACAATATTAGCTACATATCTCCCATTTACATCACTTGGTTCATCTATAGAAATCCATATCTTATTGTTGTCAACTGCAGATCCTATCTCTCCTAACACATCTTCATAGCAGGCACAGATGTAATTTTTTTTCTTAGAGTTGATTCATTTGGAATCTGATGACTGGTGTACTCTTCCAAGAAACATCTGAGGCTTCCACTACCTAATTTCTTTAAGGGAATATATAAAGCAACCATCATTGTACAGAGATCCTTACAACATCTTGACTGAATATTTGATGAACCTGCAGGTGAAGCAGCTATATCGAAAAGGAGATGTTATCTGTTCTCAGCAAAGATAAATCTTGCTGAACAACTCTTATGCTTCACAGTATCACAATGCTGTTGAATATTAAACACTCTTAGGCCAATGCCTTAACTTTCACGTGACTTACAAAACAAAATGACACTCTTAGGCCAATGCCTTAACTTTCACATGGCTTACAAAACAAAATATCACCATCACTACTGAAAATCTGCTCCCCAAACTCTTGAACAAAATACAGTATTACAACCTCCAAGAGGGAGATTGCGCTATACTTCTAGAGCTCTAGTTAAAAAACAGCAACAAAAATCGAGTCTAGCCTATTCTTTTTATTTAAATAGCAGATGATGATGATGTTCAGCAGCAATAATAGGGTTGCCCTTCAGTTGAAAGTGACTTGGTGTCTCAAAACATAGCAGTAGTAGCAGCAACATTACTAGTAAAAATGGTACATTTACTTGGTTTAATGTATTTGAAACCCAATGATTCCCAAGGCATCAAGAAACAAGAAAAAACACAACACCAAGCAAGCCAATAAAATGTCAGACAGTGTATAAAAGAAGCTGGTAAAAACAGATCAACATGTCAGCCAGTTTAAAAAACAGCAACAATCAGCAGCTATCTCAAGTCTTTTTTTACACAGTCTTTACCTGACATCAGAAGAATCCCATCTTCTGTGTACCACAGGACTATGATTCAGAAACTGATTACATAATACATTTGCCCTCATCCCTAAGGATATAGAGCAAATGAATGCAGAGAAGCCGGGTAATTCCAGAGCACATAGTGCTGTCCTCTGAAGATGCCGGCCACAGAGACTGGCAAAACGTTAGGAAGAACAACCTTCAGAACACGGCCAAAGAGCCTGAAAAACCCACAACAACCATTAATTCCATACAGTTTTTCTAAGCCACAGGAGGGTCACAGTGGCCATCCAGATGTTGCTGGGCTGCAGTTCCTATCAGCCCTAACCAGCATAGGTAAAGGTAAAGGGTCCCCTCGATAATTAGCCTGGTCGTGTCTGACTCTAGGGGGCGGTGCTCATCTCCATTTCCAGGCTGTAGAGCCAATGTTTGTCCATAGACAATCTCCGTGGTCACGTGGCCAGTGCGACTAGACACGGAACACCGTTACCTTCCCACCGTGGTGGTACCTATTTATCTACTCACATTTTTTACGTGCTTTCGAACTGCTAGGTTGGCAGGAGCTGGGACAAGCGACAGGAGCTCACTCTGATGCGTGGATCCTAACTGCTGATCTTTTGATCTTGCGGCCCAGAGGCTTCTGCGGTTTAAAACCACAGCACCACCACGTTCCTAGCCAGCATAGTCAGTAGTTAAGATTGCTGGGATTTTACAGTCCAGAAACATTTGAAGGGCCAAAGTTGCCCACCCCCATCCAAAACATGACATAGAAAATTTACCTTTTTGGGACAAAACATGCTGGAGTCCCCCAGACAGAATACTAGCTCAGAAATTCTGAGAGCTGCAGTCTGACAAAGCAAAATGTCCAAGTTCTGATTTACATCCATGGAAACAGAGAGATATAAAGAGGCACTGGTGGGAAATGCTCTGGAGTAGTTCCGAGTCCTCCATACAGAGCACGTTACCATAGTCTCTCGAGACTGAAGGATGCCTATGATGAGACCTCCAGCAAAATTCCACAATTCTTATGTATAGGCAGACCAAGCTAGTGTTTGTTTGTGACCCTGGAACATATTTTCCTGACTTCTCTCCTGTCAAGGAATCTTCAAGTACTTCCCACTGAACCTCTGTGTATTGCAAATGATTCTGGGACGAGTATTTAAAGAGTGGGACTCACACACTAGACACTGGCCAGGTCTGTAGCATTGCTGTTGACTTGTGCATGTGTTAAGCCCACAGCCTTCTCAGCATTCCACTGTATCTTTATTCTCCATGCAAGTATTATTAACAATAGACAATCTGTCTTGGTGACCATTAGTGTTCTTTGCACTGAGAAAGCCAAGCAGAGCCCAGGATTTCCCAAAATGCAACCTGAAAACTACTGGACTAGTCAGCTGAATCATCACCTATACATTTCCATTACCTCTTCTGTCTTTCAAAGGAACTATAATCAGAATTTGCCATGAATTGTGTTTTTGTTTCGGGGAGTGGGGAGCTGAGACCCTCCATTAAGTGCTAGACACCACATGACGGTGATTGTCCAGACCAGCTTTCCAGATCCCTGCCAGAAAAATGCAATAGACTGCTTTCTTTTTTGTTTCAAAAAGCCTGATGTTTGATAGTAAACATATGTTGCGAGATGGCAAAACAAAGAAAACAGACGAGTAGAATTCAGACAGTGAGAAAACAGTGCCAAATCCCCAGAGTGTAAAAGGAATAATCATGAAATGTGATGTTTACACTCATTCTGCTGATGGTTTTGCTATTCTCCTTTCATCTTTCATTACAGTTCAGCATCTTTCAACTTTCCTTTGCTCTTAGACAGATAATTTCATACCCAGGCATAACATATTGGGTGTGGGTGGGTTTTTTGTGTGGGTGTGTGCATGCACAAGGAAATGCATTCTACAGCACACTCAAAGCCAGTAGAAGGCTTGTTGCTAAAGTCATGTTTCATTTCTTCCATTTTTTAAAAACCCACGTAGGCACAGCAAAATTATATCCAAGACCTGTCTATGGCTGACACTGCAATTATGACTTTAACCTGCTACCTTTTGTTTTGTAAAATCCATGCAAGGAGTAATTGATGGGGCAGAGGGTCAAACTACCTGATTTTAGGATGCTTTCATAACCGTTTTTTCAAAATTATTCATGCCACATTTGGTTGACCTCTCATTTAATCACTTTGTAGTCTTTGTTTTTATGGGACAGCTGCATTGTCTTCCAGATGTATCTGAAGTCTGACCATTTGTATTTGGGGAAGTTTGCTTCTATAGACAACGATGAGACAATGTTTTCGTTGGAGCAGATTAGCCTGCCCACCCCTAACTCCCAGAATGGTCCTATCTGTATTTTTCTGAGGCTTCTGCTTTTTTGGTGGAGGTAGAACCGCTCTGGTTTAGATCAGTTCCAGTGTGTACGATTTCTGCAACCAATCCAAAGCAAGCTTTCTGGTTTGAATTTTCCAATAATGTGAAGTGGCTTAATAAGCAAGCCACTGGAGGATATTTTCAAATTCATACATCCTCTGATCCTTGAAAGAGGGACAGGAGAAGTGAAATTTTCTTGACTGTGTAATGTACTTTTGCTGATGCAACTGAACAGCAAACAGGAGCTTAAATTTGGAATTGCTGGGTTTCTTTTGTTTTGTTTATTCTTTTTACTGCATGCTTAAAATATTTTAAATTGTTCTAAGCTTGTGGCCTTTTACTATTATTATGTGTATAATTGCATTTTAGTATTATAACTCATCCTGTATCCAGTTGTCCTTGTGTTTCAGTCATTTTGTAAGCCAGCTTGGTTTCCTGCATTGAAAGAAAAGCAGATAAAACAATTAAATAAATACACTAACCAGTTTACTTAGTTTTGAGAAACAGGAAAGAAAAATTGGTTTTTTTAAAAAAGAACTACAACAATTACTATTTAAATACATGTGTGTGTATGTGTTGTCAAGTCGGGAATGACTGATAGTGACCATAAGAGAGCTGTCAAGGTAAGTGAGGTATTGAAGGAGTGGTTTTACTAGTTCCACACCCTAGCCATGAGTTCCCATGGCCAAGCAGGGATTCAAACCCAGGTCCTTCACTCTATCCACTACACCAAACTGGATAGCAGATATTTAAATACAGCAGGAACAAATTCTGTTTTAGAAAGTCACTTTTAAAACTATGGTTCAGTTGAATCTTGTTTTACCACCTCCACCCTCTGCCCTAAGACACTATTAAGACACTATTAAGAATGGGAGTCTCATATCTCCGCCAGCTTCCAGTTTCATCCATCCTTTTTCCCCTGTGACTTGTTATTAAACATAATAAGAGTCTTCAAGATTTGTCTGCTCATTTTAATAACATATCCAAAACCTTACCGACTTTATCAGCTGCCAAGTTGAAGTCTACAATGACGTCAAATGTCTCATGAGCACTGATTGGCTCCAGGCTTGTACAATAACATTTAAATGTTGCCCTCCTTTTGAATTTAAAAAGAAGAGCAAATTCCTTGGATTTTCAGGCTTAGTTGTTGCTTTTTTCCTTAAGCCACCTCAAGATCCCAAAGGTACTGTCTCATATTAAAGAGGTAATTATAATTCATATTACTATAATTCTCCAGCTCATTTTTGATATTAGAAATTTAAATTTTACTTTGCTAATAGTTAGTTTCTAAAAACAAACACTGCCGAACAGCAGAGAAATTATGAATTAACTGCTCCTCCTGCTGTTTCTTGCATTATTGACAACATGGATTTTGCTTTGACAGAAGACATACAACCAATCAGAACTAAAATCTCTTCAGTCCCATTGATTTCTATAGGACAGAGCTAAGTGGATGCATTTATTTTGCCCATTGCTGTACCTGCTCATGAAGTGTCAGTAATCATCAGGATGCTTACATTGGGATGGATTTTTAAAAAACCATTACAAAATTAGTACAATTGGGGATGCAATGTGATGTTTCTTGGGAACTTCTAATGTAGAGTATTTGATCTTTCCAATGCCTATTATGTACAAGAAAAATATCTCAGATCCTGTATATTTTGAGATTCACGATCTAACTCTCTTTTTAAGAAATAAAAAAACAGATTGTTGATGGTAATAATCCATAATGCTCACAACAAATTTTAAATGGGATATTGCCTTTGGGAGTGGTCCTAGAAATAGGTGAAAATGTGTTTTGTTTGTGCTGTGGTATATATGGATCTAATTCACATTTTCTAAATTTATATACACAAATTGGAACAGATTGATCCTTATCTTTTTGTACTTTTCCAAATTTGCGACATGGTTCTTCAGTAAAAAAAAATTATACAAAAATTAAGACCTTTAGAAAAACACAACATAACCTACTTTGGGACAGGGGTAAGCAATCATAATTCAGCCTTTCCCGAGAAATTGTGAATAGATGTAGAAATGGGATTAAATGAATTTCTGCCTCAAAGATTTTTAAGATTGTAGAAACTAGAAACGGTAGTCTGCCTAGTTTTTTATTTTTGAATCTTTGATGGCAGTATATTGTTCTTTTAAGTACCTGCTGGGAAAACTGGCTAAATCTTCATAGATTCATAAGCAAATATTTTTCTGATAATCTGTGGATTTAATTGTTATCTTGCTTATATAATAGGGTTTAGACTTTCAGGGCTGAGCATGGCCTTGCTCTTGGCTAAGAAGCAAGCAAGCAATGAAGGAAGGAAGGAAGCACTGTCATCATGCCCTCCCATTCCCCTGAATGGGAGATACTATATAATCTTAAATTACATTGAGATGGCAATGCTAAGAACATGTATGGGGAAGTAAGTCCTTCCAAAATTAACAGAACCAAATAACTGCTGCATAGCTCAGTGGTTTAGGCATCTGGCTACGGATCCAGAGGCTGGGAGTTTGAGTCCCCACTATGCCCCCTTGACAGGGGCTGGGTTTGATGATCCATAAGGTTCCCTTCTAGCTCTGCAGTTCTAATATTATTATTAAAATTATTTTTATCAAATAAATTGCATTGTTCAAAAGATACATATGCATAAAAGTGAAATAGTGAATTAATGAAACAAATTGATAAAAGTGCTAAACCAGGGATCTACAACAGGAAGTGCTGAAGCCAAGTCTGTCCCCTTGAAAGAGTATTACTGTACTTGGCCCAACCAGGTATCAATGTAGACAGACAGGAGACTGACAGCTATAGTGATGGGACATTATGAAAGTCTATTTTATAGAATTCAAGAAAACTTTGGCTATCACCTTCAAAGACGTCCTCCTAGAAAACTAGTCATAAAATCATTATATAGTTATGCCAAACTATTGCAAAACTTGGGTAAGTTAGGTTTTGCACTACAACAGTCAGATCCTCTCAGAATTTTTTATGTATTCTAGGAGCCATTATCCATAACATGACTATTTCAATTGTGATAGTATAGAGGTCTTATACTATGCAGGTATCATAGCAGCAAAGTACTGTAGATTTAGAGCACCTTTGCCTATAACATTTGTGTTTGTCTGGAGGAGCGGACATAAAGATATGAAGATAGGGTAAATTATTAAGCAAGGATTCTTCCCTCCACAGTCCCTGTACAGCAGATGTGCTCACCCAGTTATAATTCTGCACATGGACAAACAGAATGGACATGTCCTGTTTGTATTAAAGGGGATTCATCAGCGACAATTTGAGCCCAAGACATTTTTTCATATCCTAAAGCATCTGTTCAAAATTATAGCAGCAGGCATTAAAACATCATTCAGTAATTGAGGCTCCCCCAGCTCACGGTTGTGCTGTTTTTGTGGAGCTCAGCTCTAGGATACAGGTTACTCTTTCTTAGGCTGCACATAGACAACAAGTATTTTGAATGAGGCTAGATACACATTCTAAGCAGAGCCCATCTCCGTGGATGTGCTTATGCAATCTTCTACAAAAACAAGCCAGCTGGATACTGAATGGTTTAGGTATCTGGCTCCCAGAGGTTGGGAGTTTGATTCCCCAATGTGCCTCATACACCCAGCCTTTGTAGCCTTGAGCAAGCTGCACAGTTCCAAGGGCACCCCAAAAGAAGGGAACAGTAACCCCTTCTATGTATTTTTCTACCTTGAAAACCCTGAAACCAGTCGCTATTAGTCAGAATTGACTTGATGGCATGTACTATTTATTTATTTATTTACTTACATTTTGCAGTAACAGTACTGGAAGAATCAACAGATACATGGGCTAGAATGTCAGGCACTCATGTGTATGTGAGTAACCAAATATCTTTAAGGTAGATCTAGAAATCTGTACTACCATAGGTCACGCTTTGTAGTTCTTCTAGTTTTCAATGTACCTCTCTGTTCTAAAATATTATTATTATTATTATTGCACTCTATACCAAAGCACATTCCAATAGTAAAAAACAGCTGAAATACAACCATAAGATAATAGCAATGATAAAAACATACAGTGAGCAATTATCATTCAATAAGACAACAATCAAAATAACTATAATAACAACATAATGATTGAAATACAGTAATTCTATCCCAATAATTGCCTAGTTCCATGGTCAGCCCCTATGGTTCCAGGTTGAACAAGTAAGTTTTTAGGTGTTGTTTGAATTTGTCCAACTCTGGTTCCATGCAAAGGTATTGTGGAAGGGAATTCTATAATTTTGGGGCCAGATGAGAAAATGCTCTAAGTCTGAAGTTAGCCTCCTCGGCCCAAGGGACTAAGAAAATCCTGGCCAGCCAAATGCGTTATCTTCCATTTCTTGCAGGTGCCATCTAGCTTTAGTAAGATGCCTTCTTGGCCAATGTAATCTTCTGAGGCTCCATGGTAAAGGAGGCAGCGTTGGCAATACGAACTCGGCATGCCCATATCAGTTCACTGAGGTATGTCAAAATGTGTATTTGCTTAATGTCCAAGCAGTGCTGCTGAGGAAAAAATGTTGTTGGGATATTCCTTTTTCAGGTTGCAGGCAGGAGACTGAGTGACTGAATTCTTTGTTATCAAGTGACCTCCCCATAACAGAAGATTAGAGCCTTTCTTCTCTCAGGAAACATCAGTTTATTGTGAAAAAGGCTCTCTCTCTCTCTCTTTTTCACAGAAAAATTTAATCTGCATGGAGTTTGAAGTGATGCTGTTCTGGACCTATTTCACTACATGATCTCCAGTTTCTGTAGTTTGAGTCTTGTTTACACTACATTTTTTTGCTAGATTACTAGAAATATGCCTGTTTGTAGGATGAGCATTTGAAAAGCAGTTTCCTGGCCTTCAGCCAGGGACAAGAAGTAGCAGCACTTTTCTTCCTGTCTTAGGCAGCAGGAAAGTTTGGGATGCTCCACGTTTTGAAGCGAGGGGGGAGTATGAATATGGGCCACAAACCAGCACAGAAGTTGTGAAACATATGATATACAGTAATCTTGTTCCGTGTACCCCCTTTAGGAAAATTCATGAAAAATAGGTCCATCCAACCCAGCTATTGGCCTTGACAGCTAAAAGGAATCCTCAGGACTGAGGTACAATAAGTGTGCCTCTGAATAACAGCCACCACTGGAGAATAAGCAAGAGGAAAATAATTCCCTTTCTTACTTTCCTTCTGCATTTTCTAGATGTGTCTATCAGGTCACAAGACAATGGTTCAAGTAACACTGTTACCCAATCCTGAACAAAATTAAGGGGCCTGATTGCCCAACCTACTTTTTATGTTCTTCAGGGGTTTGGTTTAGTCTGGTTTTGTAAGCCACACAATCTTTTAAGGAACTTAAATTGAATTCAACACAGTTGTACTCATGGTGAGATGATCAAAATTCATACATGATTTTTTTCCTCCCATGTCAAACCTTTGCAAGTTTTCATATATATATACACACATGTACACTCTTTGAAAAACAGGATGTACATATATACATATATACATATATATATATGACTACTCATCCTGTTTTTCAAAGAGTGCTGGTAATGTGGAATAAAGTTTCTGTACAGAGGTCTCTTCCCATATATTCGACTGAGTAGATAGTAACCATAGGTGGAGCCAACGGGCACACTTCTAACTTCCTATTCCAGATGTTCAGTGAATGCATTTGGAAAGTGTTTAAAAAAAGAGGACCCTGGTCTGCAACAACATAGGAAGGCATCATAGAGGAAACTTTACAGAGCTTTCCCAGTTTGTTTACATTGAGTGGGTTTGCTGAACAAAGGAAACTAATATTAGGCGCCAGGGGCTAAATAAAAACAAATAATTTTTGGTTCTTTCTTAGTAAGCTGTCACCATAGATATAAACAGAATTGTATGCACATAGGGAGTGTGAAATAAACACATACGGAGTGTGAAATAAATTCGCATGGACCTCTATACATTTTGTAGCATTAGGAAAAAGCCCAGAGGTAGGTTCTTACAATACGGTGAAGAAAATTCAAAGCTTGGATTTTATTAGCTGCAGATAAATAGCATATAATTAATTCCTTTTAAAAAAAGAATGAAGGTATAACTACATTATACTATGAACAAGAGAAAACTTCAGGGTCCCGTCTCCCCCCCCTCCCCCGGTATAAGCTATAATTGCTAAATGACTTTTATATTACTGTTGTAGGTTTTTCAGGCTGTTTGACCATGTTCTCGAGGTTTTTCTTCCTAACCTTTCACCAGCCTCTGTGGCCGGCATCTTCAGAAGACAGGAGTTAGAACTCTGTCTGCGTTCTGGTGTAGTGAGTAGGATAGTTGAGCATTTGTAACTGTGTGATCAGCTTTTTGCTGGCCACAGAGACTGGTGAAACTTTAGGAAGAAAAACCTCCAGAGCACGGCCAAACAGCCCGAAAAAACCTACAACAAACATTGGATCCCAGCTGTGAAAGCCTTCAAGAACACATTTACTTTTATATTCCCGGTGGTTGAGGACTAGAAGGTGGTGGAATAATCTGATGGTGTTGAAGGGCTTGCTCATGGTGCTGTCACATTCTCTGTTGCTGAAGTGGAGGTAATAGTGGGAAGGATGGCAAGAGAATATATTGTATACCTTTGGCCAGTTGCTTGCAGCATTCAGTTCTTTTTTTTCTCAAAAGCAATTTAAATGTAAATGTTTTAGACACCTTTGAGAAACAGAAAAATAAAGCTTTTTTTAAAAAAATTGGTGCCAGTAACAGTAATAAACTATGAATAAACTGTAATTGTAACTCATTACTTTTTAAGCTCTGAGAAAAATATAAAGATCTGAACGCTCAAAACTAGTTCAAATCTCAGCAAACCACTGTGTTAAAATGAATGTACCGGTGACTCTGTGTATGTGTATTCAGTAGGTGGAGAAAGTGAAGAATGAAGCTCTTTGTTCTGTATTTATGCCTCGTAGGCACATCATGTGCCATACCAGTGAGTATTTCAGTATCAGTATTTGCTAGATTTCCTTTAAAAGAAAAGAAAAAAAAACACCTGATTCTGAGAGATAACTCAACATTCCTTTTTTTTTTTAAACCTTAGTTGCGCAAACGCCGTAAGGCAGGATTTGGAAGCAAGAGTGAAGAAGTGAGTATATTTCTCATTTTCTTCCAAGATGAAAATAAAGCATTAGATTTCATTAAATTTGGTCAGAAATGGCCAACTTCTGTGTTTCCAGGGCCTATTCTGTTCTCCTAGAACCCCACACTTTCAGAAGTTCTGAAAAGTTCTGATATTCACTCAGCTCAGTTAGGCTACAGAGGTTCACATTTCTTCTTTCTACTCAGCAAAATTAAGAACTGCTGGATAGCTCAGTGGTTTAGGTATCAGAGCCAAAGTTGGGAGTTTAGTTCCCCAGAGAGGGGCTGGAGTTGATGATCCATAAGGTCCCTTTTCTGCTGCTGGCAAAAAGAAGCGCTCCCCGTTCCCCACACTGTCCCTGCAGGAGCAAAACATCTCACAGTAGCTGCCAGTTTTCTCAATAGAGTGTCCCAATGTGTTGAGATTCCACTTTTCATCAAGGATGGAATCATTTCTGAATATTCATTACCTTCTTTCTCCATGACTTTCACCATAAAAAGGAAAAACATTCCAGTAGGCGGGACACATGCAGCTGAATGAAATTAATGGTCAATAAAAGAGGAGGCCAGAGGGGCCTTCAGGATGTGCAAGCCTCTGTGTTCCTTCCCTGAATATGATTTGTTTGGGCATCATAGGGAAGATGGTATGGCACACACAGCATTGTTCTCCAAAAACTCATCTTTACTATCCCCTGGATTGCAGACTTTGCTCCTTGAGGTGTCTAACTGCTTCACAGTTGAGCTGGTCCTGGCATAAGGCTTAAAAGATAAGCTTTCACTTCCAGAATTTAAAGTAATGGTGTAGGCCAGTAGCTATTTGCAGTGGTGTAATACTACTGAAGCCAATAAAACTTGAATTAAGCTGAGAAAAAATAGCGGTTCATACTGCTTCAGTATTATGACGAGTAGGACTTTCATTTGTTGCATTGGCTAATTATTGTTCATGCATATTTTCAGTAAAATGAAACACTGCCTAATGGATGTATTTTCTTTCAGATGATGCCATTTGGTGCATATGGCTTTCTAAACTCACCACAAGTAAGTTTACTTTCTTCATGGTTCTTGAAATGTATACCTTTACATTCTGTCAAAGTTTACATCTCTGTGTGTAAGAGTTAGGAATACCGGTGTTGGGACTGGAGTGGGAGGAATCCACTAGCAAATAGAAACTTCTACTATTCTTTAAGCCACACTAGATAAGTGAAGATGGAACAAGATAGCATTGCTCTTATTATGGTCCAAGGTCTTTCCGCTTTGCTACATCTGATTTCTCCCAGAACAGAACCTAGTATTTATTAGTTAGGTTTTACATTTATACACCATGTTGTTGTTTCTCTTTTTTTTTAAAAAAATGATCCAGGAAAGCACAAACCTCTGGTATATCCGCACAATACTCTGAACAGTTACTTGCTCAAGTTTACTCTTTAATTTTGTAGTTCAGTAGTGACTGGGTACTGGTTCTTCTTAGCCCGAGTCCAAATCTTTCACCACTACCCCACACAGGATATTGGGTGACGTATGCAGTTCACAACAGGAGCAGGGTGATGGCCCACCATGAAGCCTTTGAGTGACCCCCCCCATTCAGACCCTGTTGCTGATACCTTCCCCCACTTAGGTTTTTTTCCCCACCCCCTTCTGATACCCTTAAAAAAGAGGTTTTCAGGTTTTTTCCCCTTCTTCTTTCAACCTGAACTGCCACCCTCCCCAGCAAACCCTTATCACACAAAAGCTCATCCATTGATCATCCATGTCTTCCCCATGTTATGTTTTTACCTCTATAAATAAAACACCCATTATCATTATGTTCCCAGGGCTCCCTCTGTTACTAAAAGAAAAATAAAACCCTGAGGTTGTGTCTTGAACGCTTCTCATTTTCCCGCGAAATAAAGGGCATATCATGGAGGGAAAGATGCCTCACTTTCTGGCAACAAGGTACCGCCTCAGAAATGGTATCTCATGTTATGCTGTTTCTTACAACTATGTTTCAGCTTTCACAGCTCGCAGCATCCTTATATGGCTACCGTCCAAGTTACCTACAGCTGTTCCCTCAGCAGTCTATGCCACCTTTGTCAAGACCATCCCTCTGGCAGCAGCAGATGCCGGCACATGAAGCCACCAGATTCCCTTCACAGAATCCACACAGGTTGCCTCAGCAACCTTCAGCAGCCAGGAGGCCAAACAGCAGGCCGCAACCCAAGCTACAGTTACCCCCACAACAACCGACACATCAAGTTCAACAGCCCCAAATCAAAGTACAGCAACCACCCAAACTGCCTCCAAGTGCTGCGGACCCTTCTCAACCTCAACCACAACTGCCTGATCTGCAGTCCAAGGTGGGTAAGCCACAACACCCATAGGTAAGCAGACAGACTTGACAAAGAGTCCTTCTCTTCAACTTAGTTTTAGTTTAGTTTATTATTATACGGTCATAGACCCGAAAATACAAAAATAAGCACATTATATAAAATATACAAAATAAGTAAATTGTTAAAATATATCAGCAGTATAAGACATGAGTCAACTTGAAGTTTTCCTGTTGCTTGATTACAGTGCTTTTTAGACAGGCATCCGCTTCAGTGCAATGAAGTAGAATCAGCAGCTTAAATGTCTCCATTATTCCCTCTGCTGCCTTTTCAGGCCAGGAGAAAGGAATCCATTTATAGTGGTAACCCAATTTTACTATTAAAGACATGATGATTTGGGTTTTTGTTGCTTTTGTTGCTGTTTGTTTGCTTGCTTCTTACTATTAAGGATTTATTTGTTGTTTAGAGAATTTAGCTTTTGATAGTTTTGTGGGTTGTATTGTGTGAGAGAATGAATATGCAAGGATGACGCAGAAATAACCTTATGGGCAACTGGTAAACATAACAAGAGTCTCAACTGTAAGATGATGTCTAAGAAGATACAACAGAGGGCCAGTGCACACAGATGTGTTCATTACTTGATCACTTTTAAACAACAGCTCTCCATGTGGACAATGGACAGATGCTATCTGAGAAGTTATAAGGTGGATTGAAGATAACAGAGCATTAATAGAAGAGTGACACACTGTGATCACTTTGGACAGAGGCAGTACTGATGGCTGCAATCATAGGTTGGATTGCTCCCCCTTTTTTGCAATAATTGTATTGTGACCTTTCAGGATGTCCTAAAGTTTTATAGACAAAACTGTATCTTCCTTTTTTTCTTCTTCTTCCCTCCAGGCATTTCTTCCACATCAGCAACAGCCCTGGCATTTTCCACAGGTGAGCTGATATTTTTGTAAAGGACACCTGGAGACATTTGACACTAGTTTTTAGACCCAGAGTTGTGTCATTGTCATCACCCTAAAAAGTCCACCAGATGGCAGATTTGTTTTTTATTATTTTAATAGGATGGCAGATTTATTTTTAAGTTGTGCAACTCATATATGTATTATGTAACTGGTAAAGCAAGCATTTTCTTCAGATATAATTGGTATATACATTGGTATATTCATGAAGCTTCTACAGTCAAACTAAGACTTGTATGGTACACTCAGGGTACAACTACATGTGCTTTTGTCCTGCAGTTTGGTCCGGGTTGAGACTGGCTGGTTTACTTCTATTCCCAGTGTCTATGTGATGTACATGCCAGTGCAACCAGTCCATTCCTTTTTGTTGTTATTCTGTTGGAGGATACTGTGGGTTTTTTGTTTTGTTTTGGTCCAGGGAGGATAATCACTCTGTTTGGCTTGGTTCCAGCATGTGTGATCACTAGGACTGAACCGAAACAGATGGCTTAAACTGTCCTTTTGCTTAAGGCAATTAACTATCTATCTTGAGGAATGGAATGCTTCCTCCCTGCTCACCTGCATTAACAGTTTCTTTTTCATTGTTGCCAATGTGCCAGCAATGCTTGGAAAGGGCCTTTCTCCCAGCCCTTCCAATTAATTGCTGATGTACTGTGTCTGTTAGCAATACTTAAAAAGAACAGTTAGTGATGGTTAAAAAAACAATTCAAAAAATTGGTCTAAATAGGGACACTCGAGGTTTGGTGTAGTTGATCCTTGCATGTGGATGCAGGGATAGCTCCAAATGATACCCCACACCTCAAAGTGACTGTTTATCATGATCTAGACAGATCCAGGCTGAGATAATTGTGTAACTAG